TTTTTTTTTTTTTTTTTTGCCCTAGTGAGGCAGCCCTGCCCCACAGCAAGAGTCAAGTAGTTCAAGGTTTGACTCCATGTCCGTCCCAGACTGACAGCCAGAAGGCAGCATCTAGCTAGTTAGTGTTGGTGAGTGACTCCCATCTTTGCTCCCACCCTATTCCACCCCTGATTAAATTCTGTTGCTAGAAACAAGCAACTCTGAGCATAAATATCATTAGTATCTTGAATACTTAGGAAGTGGGATGGGAGAAGCAGTCAGAGGATGGTGGAAAGAGTACAGATTTTAGAGCCAGATAGACCTGGTTTCCTTTCTTTCTTTCTTTTTTTTAATTTTTTTATTCTTTTTTTAAGATTTTATTTATTTATTTAATTGACAGAGAGAGAGAGACAGTGAGAAAGGGAACACAAGCAGGGGGAGTCGGAGAGCTGGTTTCCTTTCTTTAATTAGTCAACCAAAGCAGTGTTGTAAAATCTTTATCACAGTGCTTTCTTTGTTGTTGCTCCAGAGGTTTCTGTTTGTTTGTTTTTTTTAACTCTGTAAAACAAATGTTTATTTCCCACCATCAAGAGAGGTCAACCCAAAGATCTTGTAACCAGAGAATATGGATAATTACCAATAGCTGTGGACAAGACAGGCAGAGCATCAAGGATAGATGCATGACAATAGACTGTATCACCAGGGCCTAGTGTTTGGGGTTGTACATAGACACAGGGGAAAAAAAAAAGACAACCCACGTCCTTTTTTGTGGAGATTGTGCTGTTTAAATTCATTTTTTAAATGTTTCTTAGCTTAGTGATCAATTCCACAAGCCTGGAAAATACCTTCACTCACTATATCCATTCCATTTCATTTGTTCACGAGCTCACTCATTTCATTTATTTATTCAGCCAGTATTCACTACCTTCAAAGCACGGTGGCTGGGTACTCTGCTTTTGTAGGGGTTCTTTACAGAGGATGAACAGGATTTCCAAAAGGACCTGATTTTAATACCACAGGAAGAATAGCCACAGGAGAGGAAAGGCTAACCCCAGTATTACTCTGGCCTCTTTTTGGCACCCTCCTCAATTCCAGATGTAAGGAATGAAAATCAGTTCACAAACTTGCTCTGAAAAATCATGAGTCTATTCAAATTTTCGGGAATCAGAGTCTCTAGAGGACCAAAAACTCCAAAGATCTTATGACCAGAGAATAACCTCAAGAGATGGTCAACTCCAGTTTCACTTGGATCCGCCTTTTCTTCCCATTCCTTCTCCGACCGTGGAGGCCGGGTGCCCTGGATGGCCACGTGGTCGGTGCCTGTCCTGAGGGGCTGTACTTTTGCTGCAGCAAGTTTTCTCCATAAAAGAGGACGGTGCTTGTTTTCAGAGAAAAGCATGTTTTGCAAACTGTTTGCTCTTGGGAAAGCAGACGGGAAAAGTTGTGAGCAGAGAAGAGTGGGGAACTGGTACAGATAAGGAGGAAAGAGAGGACTAGAGTCGAGGCAGTGTCACCTCGCCCTTCCCAACATCTCTCCCCACAGTGCCCGCGTCTCACCTTCCTTTCTCCTGCCCCTTGGGTTTCTGTCTAGGCATCTCCAAGGTAGTGATGGCTCTCCAGAGGACCCGTTCCCTGCTTCTGCTCTTGCTGCTGACCCTGCTGGGGTTGGGGCTGGTGCAGCCCTCCTATGGCCAGGATCGCATGTATCAACGATTCCTGCGGCAGCATGTGGACCCTGAGGAGACAGGTGGCAATGACACCTACTGCAACTTGATGATGCAAAGACGGAAGATGGTGCGTCAGTGCAAGCGCTTCAACACCTTCATCCACGAAGACATCTGGAACATTCGTAGTATCTGCAGTACCACCAATATCCAGTGCAAGAATGGCAAGATGAACTGCCATGAGGGTGTAGTGAAGGTCACAGACTGCAGGGAGACAGGAAGTTCCAGGGCCCCCAACTGCAGATACCGGGCATCGGCGAGCACTAGGCATGTGGTCATCGCCTGTGAGGGTGACCCGCAGTTGCCTGTGCACTTGGACAGATAGACGCCAGCTTGCGGGGCTTATGGCCGGTGGTAGGCCTTTAACTTACTCCTTGAATAGCAGTAAGTAATACATTTGAGCTGCCCCAGCCTCTATCTCCTCTATTTCTGACTCTTTTTCTCTTTATAACCCATTCTGTTAAGCACATTGTATCAAAGAGAAATGGAGACATAAACTTATAATGAGTCTGGGCCTTTCTGTAGTAAACTTTTTGGCTTTCTTTTATAATACTGGTCAGTTTAGCTCTCTCAGATCCTATCCTCTGGAATTTAGTCATTATATGGATTTATATAGCATTTCAAGCATTTCAAAGTATTTTCATCTAAATCATGTCATTTCAATAGCACAGCAATTGTGCGATGTTGCTGATGTTGTTCTATGTAGGAGCCCAAAGTTCAGGGACTTGCTGAAAACCATGAAATTAGTGGAAAAGCTGATACAGAAATCCCGTTGAATTGGCTCCTAATCCAGGCCTTTTCCCACTTCATCACAAGGAGCGTTTTGAAAGTAACTGCTTTTGGTTATTCCCAAAAGTCAGCTGTTGGGAGAAGCGTTAGAAATTTGGAAATGCATGCTGGCAAAATGAGAGCTCGGTCTGGATAATCTGGCTCCCTTGTTGTGCTGGG